TCTTTTTACTTTAAAAGTATTTCTAGAACTCCTTGGGGTATAGCTAAGAAAGCAGTGGTAATGCTATACAGAAGATTAACAAGACCAGTTATTGAGTATGGCGGCCAGGCTTTCAGTTGTCAATCAAAAACAAATTTGAGAAAGCTTGACTCAATCCACACACAGTTGTTGTGAATTGATTGTGATGCCTTCATCGGGGCTTTGGAGCAGAGCCTGGAGCTGGAGCGTGGAGCAGCTCCGGAGCAGTGGAGCTACAGGTTTTTGTGCGGCTCCAAAGCCCTGGCCTTCCTCGTAATACTTGCTGTGTATACTGCAGATAACTGCAGGTGAAATGCCTTTTACTTTTAGACTTAACCTTTTGGGTTAAAGACACTTGAAACAGTGAAGATGGAAATACTAAGCTAACATATAATGAATGCTGGGAATTAAGTGCTCAACATGTAGCACCAAAAACGCAAAATGCCTCATGTAAGGAGGGTTAAACATAGACAAAGGATCTTAGTGGGGAAAGAAAACCTAAGAGGTTAAAATCCATACCTTTGGAAAAATGCATCATCATTGGAAAAATATACCTTCTGAGGTAGACATGGAATTGTATAATGAAATTAAAAGAAGAAAAGGAGTATTTAAAAGTGCAAGATATAGCAAACCAATATGTTTGTGATAAGTGGGAATGCCAAATGTATACCGACAGCTCCAAAGATGTAAGAACAGGAAGAGTGGGAACATCATTTTGTGTTCCTTTGCTTGGAATCAAGAAAGGTGTAAGGCTATCAAATTCTGTAGCCATTTTGATGGCTGAACTGGCAGGGATAATGCTGGCATTTAATTGGGTCACAGATGTGCACCCAGCCGCTGTGGTCATCCTGTTTGATTCCTTATCAGGACTGCTTGCAATCAGAAATGGCACTTCAGATAGCAGACATGATATACTTAATGACATATTACCGATAACAGAATAGATGCAGCTGGTCATAATCACAGTAATAACATGGATCCCAGTGTACGTAGCAGTAATACGCAATGAGTTGGGAGATAAAGTGGCAAAAAATGCTGTGAAAGCAAGTTGATTTAGAAATCCCTTTAAGTAAACTGTAGCTTAAATTGAAAATTTAAATTAAAAATCAGTATAGAGGAATGGCAGGAACTATGGGCAAAAGAAATGAAGAGGAAAAGATTCCATGAAATTGCTGATATACTCCACACCCTCAGCGAGAGAGTGAAGTGGTTCTACTTAGAATTTTTACTGTCCATTGTGGCTTAAATAGTAATTTGTTTCTAATAAACATAAAGATGGGTTATGTGAGACACGCAAGGTCCAGGAAACAGTTGATCATTTCCTGTAGGAGTGTAAAGAGTGTTCCATTGAAAGGGGATATTTATGAAAAAAATGTAGAGGCCTTAAAGTATCAGAATTTTCACTGCAACAGCTAGTAAGAGCATCAGGACAATGGGGCACTAGGGGGGAAAAAACAATATAGCAATTCTTTCAGAATACTGTGAGAGGAAAAAGGCTTAATTCTTGAATTAGCTGTGGTGTCCAGTGCTTGGTGGGCATAGACTCAGCAAGTGAGTCCGTTTCTCCAGAAAACGCAAAAAGAAGAAGAAAAGGAGTACTTGTGGCACCCTAGAGACTAACCAATTTATTTGAGCATGAGCTTTTGTGAGCTACAGCTCACTTCATCGGATGCATCCGATGAAGTGAGCTGTAGCTCACGAAAGCTCATGCTCAAATAAATTGGTTTGTCTCTAAGGTGCTACAAGTACTCCTTTTCTTTTTGCGAATACAGACTAACACGGCTGTTACTCTGAAACCTGTCAAAAAAGAAGAAGGCAACTCCTGTAGGGCCCCGAGTCAGCAGGGAAGAAGCTTACAACAGGAAAGGAAGCTTCAGAGAATAGAGTGAGCGAGAGAAGCTTTCCAGGTAGGGAGGCCTGGGAGACACCCTGGCTATGCAGGGGAGGGTTGGGAGGAGAAGTTGAGAAGAGAGGTAGGAAGTGGCCTGGCCCAGGGAAAACCACAGCATAGGGAGAAGAGCAGACCTAGCTGTTCAGTACAGGGCCCTGGGCTGGAACTCAGAATAGAGGGTAGGACTGGGTTCCCCCAGCAGCTCCAGGGAAGGGGGATTACAAGCCCATTGTAAAGGTTGTCTAGCCCAGAAAGGGGGCAGCAGACTGAACCAAAGGCTGGCTGAGGAAGAGCCCCAGAGAGGGCGGAAGGATTTTTGTTTCTGTCAAAGACATTTTTGGACTTCTAGTTTGGGACACTGGGATTAAAGATGGTGATGCAGCCAGTGGGCTGGTTATCAAGCAGATAACTGCCACAGCACCAGAGCAGCCGTCAGCGTGGGATGTTAGCCCATCAAGAGAGCTGCGATGCCACACCTGCCCATGAGGGAGCACCAAGCAGTTAGTGAACTCACCCAGTCTTCAATAAAATTCTTTAGTACCTACAACTGTTTCATGCCTTTGGTGTAAGAAGAAAAGGAGGACTTGTGGCACCTTAGAGACTCACAAATTTATTTGAGCATAAGCTTTCGTGAGCTACAGCTCACTTCATCGGATGCATGCAGTGGAAAATACAGCAGGGGAATTTTATATACACAGAGAACATGAACCAATGGGTGAACCTTGGAGTTCACTGGACCCCAGTGATCCCACACTCTGCTCTGTATGAGGCAACACTGAGCTTCAATATAACCTTAGAAACAGAATAGTCAAAGTAAGATTGTAGTATGGAATAAACAACTTATTCCACAGTATGAGGTTTCCTGTATGCTGTCACTCCAGCAACCTTACAGTTTGGACATCCCTAATGGCTCTATAGCTATAATCCTCCAGCAGGGATGGTTCATAACAGCCCCATTAAAGCCCACGGTTTTCATTGCCATGTCATTTTAGGGTATACTACTGAAATATAAAGTTAAACATGTCAGTACTTTGTACAGCATTAGCAATTTTTCATGACTTATATGTCATTATTAGACTTACAGTTCACTTTCAATAAGTCTCTCCATACATAGTTTATGTAATAACTTAATTTTAAATAGGAAATTAGCCTTCATGAATTAGGAGACCCCTCATTTGCCAATCTCTGTGTCATGAGGACTCAAATTGGGATTTTTCAAAGCATCTAAATGACTTAGAAGCACCAATTCTATTGAAAGGCAATGGGACTTGTGCTCTTAAGTCATAGGTATTTTTGAAAAATCTTAGCCACAATCTAACACATGAAGACAGATGCTGTATTGAAAACTAGTCTGTGGTGTTTCCTTAAGTCAAACTCCAATATGATAGGCCAGATCCTCAACCCAGCTAAATTTGCTTTGTGGTTCTCCAGTGTCACAAACCAGACTTAATAGTGGAGTAAGTATCCAGCAGAGGATTTCTCCTTCAGCGGAGAGAAAAGATCTATGTCTAGGAACCCAACAATGATCTCTGCATGGCAATTCAACACTGCCACAATCAACATTATCATCATCACTGTACCCCAGAGTGTACTAGCTGCAAATAAAAATATGGGAGAGGCCGCTGTCCTATGGAATTTACAATCTGAACAAACAGCATATAACCAGAAGAGTAGGAGGAGATGGGAGGCCATGCAAGGTACATTTTTAGGCATGTCTACCAGTTTATTTTACTCTTCTTTGCTCTGCCTGTTGAGCCCACAATCACACAGAAGCTCATTTTGATTTCCCTTACTGCTCTTGACTGCTTGTCTGGTGTGAGTATTGCTGCAGCTTTCCTTTGCTTTTCATCTCTGGCCAAGCCATTTTGAACTCTCAGTTATTATTTCACTGGCTTTAACGTCTCATGTGTTGATTTTTTTCAATAACAAAGGAAAAGTTAAAAGTGCTGCAGTTGTGCTTAACATGGATTATTGCCAAGAGTCTCATGTTCTAGTGGCCATAAGAGTCCCTTTGGGCCTTAAAATCTATGAATCTAAAAGCCCCTTTTATCAGGAAAACTGGTAGCTCTGTCCTTCCCCATCTATTTCTTTTTTAAAAGGTCAAAAGACAAGGAGCAATTGAAGGTGATTCCCTTCTGTTGTTCTAACCATGTTAAAAATGAAGTGAAAGCTTCCAAGAATCACAGCCCTTCATTAGGCCACAAAAAACAGAGCAAAGTACAGCAGGAGATACAGTAGTAGGGAGTTCATTGAGACCACATAATTAAACCCAGAGATATAGGAGATCAAAGAGGAGTTGGGTAAATTAAAGAAAACCACCACACACATGGAATGGATTCATCTCTTGACCCGCTTTCTGTGGATTAGAATGGCAGTCAGATTAAAGATGAATATGGTTTTGGGTAGCTCTGTGAAGTGGGGCACAGGGCCTCTCACCTCTGGTTTGAAGTCAGCCAATGACAATAAAGACTGAAAGTAGTTGCAATCTGACTGGTTGGTGAAATGAGTTGGTGGCTTCAATCCCATTTCTTTCCTAGGGCCTGATCCAGTGCCCATTGAAGTAAATTCACAAGGAGGCCATAGGTGCTGCCATTCATGCTGCACTTCAGCCCCCTAACTTCTAGGCACCCTGCTGCCTAGCAGAATTCGCAATGCTAAGAGTGGCACCCAGGCTCCCTGTACAATGAATGGTGAAATTTAGGGGCCCATAAATGAGATTCACAAAAGCCAGTGGGCTGAGCAGGGAGCCACCTAAGCTAGCCAGTACAAAATGCTGAGGAGAGGGATGTGATCTAAGCTCCCCCCCACCAAGGCGTTAGATGCCTAAATCTAGCCCAGAGGGAGTCACCTATCTCCACCTGGGATTCACAGCAGAGAACCCACTCCTGGAGTTAGGTGCCTAAGACCCATCAGCCCTTTACTCAGGAAAAACCAAGGAGGAGGAAGAGTCTTCCATACCCTGGGTGAATGCTCTAATTCAGGGGTCTCAAACTCAATTTATCTTAGGGCTAGGGCCAGTCCTCAAATCCTCCCAGCAGGCCAGTAATGTCACTGAAGATGGTGGTCAGAAAAGAAAACATTTATATTGTATTTTTTATTTCAAATTTCTTAGAAATAATAAGACTGTCATACAACTTTATACAATTCTTCGTTTGCCAGAGAGTTTTTAGTGTTGGCCAGACACCTGGCAACACTTCAGTTCTGTCAGTTTGTTGATGTTTGGCCTCAGTGACTGAGCAGTTGAAACCTTCAGGACTGCAGCAAGGTGGGCATTAGAGAGTTGTGTTCAGTCCACTTTCCCACACTCCACGCTCCGCTGACAGCAGGACCTTGCGGGGCTGGGCCTCCTTGGGCACAAAAGCGGCTGAGGAGGAGGCCTCATGCTGCCCTGGCTGACTTTGCCTGGTGACTAGTGACACTGCTGCCATGGCTGACTCTGCCTGGCAACTAATGATGCTGCTCCATGGCTGACTCTGCCCGGTGACTAGTGATGGTATCTCTGTCCCTCTCCCGCAGCCAACGGGAGCTGTGGTGGGCGGCAACTGCAGCAGACAGAGCCGGCAGTGTGGCTGCATCTCTCCTGCCTGCTCCCCTCCTGCCCCTCCCCTTCCCCCCTCAGCTGGCAGCCACGAGGGCTGGATGAAAGGAACTTTTTAAAAAGTTTCCATGGGCTGCAGTGTGGAGTTTCTTGGGCCGCAGATGGCCCGCGGGCTGGGACTTTGAGACCCCTGCTCTAATTGCTGAGCCATTGGATATAAAGGGGATGGTGGTACCACCACCACCAGCATTTGGGCAGGGCAATCTGGTAGGCATACTGTGAGGCAGACTCTGAGCATGCCTACCAGCCCATGTCTTACAGGTGAGATAGGTGATGGAATGTATAGTTTGTGAATCCGCTGAGGCTTAGGAGGTGAGCTACGTGCTAAGCTGCTCAGCACTGTTAGGACTTAGGTGGCCAAAACTGGCCTCATATTTAGAGTGAGATACTTTGCAAGGCATGGTGAGAGCTGGTCTCCCCCAGAGCTTACGTGCCACATCTAGAAGTCTCATATTCCAATGTTTGGGGTTTCCCAAAAATGCTAATTCAGTTAGAGGCATTTCAGCAGCAGCCCTAACACATGAGGCAAATAAACAGAGTTCAGAGGAAAATGCATACTAAACTATGTTGCTGTAAATTTTTCTGCATCCTTACTCTACAATCCAAGTTGCTGAATCATCCAGATGAGTTCACAGGGTAGACATATGTCCATAGTAATTGCATGCTTATGCTTAGCCTTGTTAAGCTCTGTGCCAGTTCAAAAGTCAGTGGCAGTAATGGAACCTGTAACAAAGTGAGATGATTATTTACTCATTTACATATCAATACCCCAAATGCCCTTCAGTTCACAGTTCTGTCATAGGCAGTGCTGATTGTGTCTGAGAACAGAGGGAAAGATCTAAACATGTATGTCTATGCACTCAGCTTTTTTTGAGCCAATTAAAAAAAATCATAGCCCCTTGAATTACCCATAGCACTTGAAAGCCACATCACCACACCTGTAGAAGCTTCAGATGCACTGAACCCTCTGAAGACCTTGCTGCCTCATCACTTTCTTCCCAGCCTCTACATACAATGTGTCCCTTTTCTTCTTTAAAGCAAGAACAGTAAAAACATAAATATGATCAACAATGGTACAAAGTGCCCTCAGCAGTGTGGCTTCTGTCTCCACACAAAGCTTTTCTACGTCTCTTGATCTGAGTACAATTACTCTGTGTGTGTAAAATTCAGGAGCATGCTGCATATGAAACTATATTAGTAACTAGCAGAGACACCCATGTAAGTAATGGGAATGTTAAGAATGGGAAAATATTATGAAATTAATATAATGAGTCAATTGCAAAACATTGCAAATCTAAGGAAATTAACTTCCACATGACACTTGGCATGACCTTCAATTCCTAATGGTTTAGGAGGCCCTCCTGTCTGACCAATCATACTAACATTCAGAGCCCTCAGACTATATAGGATAGTGTTATTCAGCCTTTAAAAGCTAGACAGGCACTTCACTTCACTATTGAACAGAGTTTCAGAAATAATCATTCTGCAATGTCCTGAAACTACTTAGTAGGTCAGTGATGTAACATTGCATAAGCGCTGTCATAAATATAAAGGGAAGGGTAATCACCTTTCTGTATACAATGCTATAAAATCCCTCCTAGCTAGAGGCAAAACTCTTTCACCTGTAAAGGGTTAAGAAGCTAAGGTAACCTTGCTGGCACCTGACCCAAATGACCAATGAGAGGACAAGATACTTTCAAAGCTGGAGGGGGGGGAAACAAAGGGTTTGTCTGTCTGTCTGTTGCTTTTGCTGGGAACAGATCAGGAATACAGCCTCAGAACTTCTGTTAAGTTAATAAGTAATGTAGCTAGAAATACATTAGATTTCCTTTTGTTTAATGGCTGGTAAAGTAAGCTGTGCTGGATGGAATGCATATTCCTGTTTTTGTGTCTTTTTGTAACTTAAGGTTTTGCTTAGAGGGATTATCTATGTTTTGAATCTGACTACCCTTTAAGGTATTTACCATCCTGATTTTACAGAGGTGATTCTTTTACCTTTTCTTTCATTAAAATTCTTCCTTTAAGAAACTGATTTTTCATTGTTCTTAAGATCCAAGGGTTTGGGTCTGTGTTCACCTGTACAAATTGGTGGGGATTCTTATCAAGCCTTCCCTAGGAAAGGGGGTGTAGGGCTTGGGGAGATATTTTGGGGGAAGACGTCTCCAAGTGGGCTCTTTCCCTGTTCTTTGTTTTAAAACTCTTGGTGGTGGCAGCATAGGGTTCAAGGACAAGGCAAAGTTTGTACCTTGGGGAAGTTTTTAACTTAAAATGGTAAGAATAAGCTTAGGGGGTCTTTCATGCAGGTCCCCACATCTGTACCCTAGAGTTCAGAGTGGGGAAGAACCTTGACAAGCACGACTCAGTCTTCACATATTGATACAGTATCACACTGCAATAGCAGGACATTTCATTGGGATTATTTTGGAGAGCTCTACCACTTTACTGGCCACACTATCACTTCTCTCGCCTTCCTGGCTGCTTGGAGCCACTATAATCCCCCTCAGTACTTCCAGTCAGATTCCTTAGCACTTTCTGCATGGTCATGGCTATAGGGTGTGTGCTCCTGCACCATCTGTCTGCCTGAGGCTAGGTAGAATGTAAAGAGCCTAGACAAGACCTATGGATTCCACAAGAGCATCATACAGAGCCCTGAAGAACCACATACAACTCTACATCCATAGGGAGAGGATCACTCTTAAAGGATACTCAACGTTGCCTTTGCACGCAAGACACTTCTTTTAACTTGTGAATGTACTGCCCTACTCTAAGTCTGTGGGTAATTCCTGCACTAACCATGAAACCATATATATGTCAGTTCCTAGAGAGACCATAATTATCTCAGCTGGTGATCCTGGGTTATGTCATTTTACAGTCTTTGGTTTCTGTTATAACTTAAAGAATAATTCATCCTTTCCCATTAGATAACTCTTAAATGTTAACTGCTGGTTTATTAGATTGCTTAGAATTGTTTGCACAGCTGAGCTATGTATCTCAACGGAAGTAAAATAAATACTCTTTCCCTAGGAGAAGTCAGTGACAACCTTTTAGCCCTAGTGATCGGTTTGCTTTGGTTTATATCATTTTAACACTTTCAAGGTTGTTTTCACAAAAAGGGCTAGACACTTGCTTTTTAAAAGGAAAGCTGAGGTTGTTCTTTATATTTCTAATTTATTCAATTCAAGGATGCCAGTGCTGTCTCTCAATGCCAGGCAGAGGGAATGGGGATCAATAGAAATCAGGGGCTTCTTTTGCTTTTTTACATAAAAATTCATGATACAAAGGATGCAATAAACTAAAGCAGCTGGAAAACCTTTAATCTACAGGGAGGGCATGTTAATGAATGAGACCACGAACAGTTTCAGTTGCTAAAAAATTATATTCTAGGCAGTGCAGGTAACTACACCTGTAGATAACTACACTTGCCCAGTGCTTTCCAATTATAAATCCCTCTTTTTAATTGCTCACAACATTCACAAATTTTTAACTGTTCATGCTGAAATTTCCCATGCTGGCTTGCTGTCCGAGGCTGAATTATTTTTTATTTATTCTTAAATATTTTCAGCTAAACCAGTTCAGCCAATTTTCAGAACAAACACTGTGAAAAAATAAGTTCATGTTAAAAAATCCTTACAACCATTTCATTCAGAAGCTCTAGCCTCTCTATGCTTTGGAACAGGGACTTGGAATTTTCCAGGGGGGGCTGACCTGATGTCACAGATGTAATTTTTGCCATCCCTCTGTAAATCTACCCAAATTTGGCCCTGATAAGCCTCCAAAAATTGCAGTTCAAATTTGCTCAATAGAGACTTGTTAGAGTTTGGCAACTAAATTCTCCAGAGATTCTTTGTGCCCTGAATGTGCTCCAGCCCAGGCTGCAGGGACTGAGCAGAACCTTCCGTGCAATTACTGCCAGGGCTGCTATGGAGCCAAGCACAGGATTTCAGAGCAGGAAGACCATCTCTCCTATACTCTTAATGCTCCCTCTGCTGGCACCCAGGCAGTGAGGAGGAAAAGGAGAAAGCAGCCTGATTTGAAAGCACAGTGGTGATAAAGTGGGCCTGAGGATGGGGATAATGAAGGGAACAGGATCAGCCCTAGACCAAATTGCGTCCAGGTGAGAAGCATCTTCGGTGCCCCCTCCATTTGTTGAACTTTTGAATACCTTACTTTTTATTGCATTTGGAGCCCATTTCACTAATTTCATGCATGATTTGCATGCATGATTTATCCCTGTCATATAAAACAATAAATTTGCATGCTAGGATCTGTAAATCTGTATTTATTCATGCTATATACAAACAAATAAAAAATTTATTTCCTTTAAACTTATACAAACTTTTTAATTTTAAAGATAACTGAAATGTACTAACATAAAGAAATTGAACTGTGCACCAATTTATCCGAAAAGCCCCAGAAAGCCAAATTATTTTTTGCAAGGAAGAGGGTAATTGAGATCAGACACTCAAGCATGCTCCTCCAAAGCTGGTTTCTACATTAATGATGAGCTGGTTTTCTGCACCTATGCATTTGTTCAGCTTGACGTTGGACTTGACCTCCATCCATTTGGGTAGGCAGTAAAATGGATATGTGATTTTTTTTTTTTTTTTGTTGCAGAACATCTGCTAAGTTATGCCAGTAATTGTACCCAGAAAGCACAAGCAACGATTTGGCATTCTTGTAAAATATTTTGCAACAAAAACAGAACACTTTGTTGGTTGATTTTGAGTAAACTAGCCAAAGCCAATTCAGTTTCTCACCATCCTCAAGCACTCTTTCACAGGGTGACTTTGAAAAGTGGAGCTTCTGTTCATTTACAGGAAACGTCATATCCTCAATTTTGTCCAGCGAATTGAAAATTGTCTGACCAATATCGGCAGAGTTTAGGATCACCGGCCATAAAGCAAGATCTGATGTATCGATTTGTGGTGTGCAACTTTTCTCACTGCTGTTTCTGTCATCATGTGAGGCTGATTTTTCTTTATCATTTCTCTCCTTTTCATGTGACTCACATTCTTCTTTATCATCACTCTCCTTTACACCACTTTAGCAAAGCTTTTGACACGGTCTCCCACAATATTCTTGTCAGCAAGTTAAAGAAGTATGGGCTGGAGGAATGCACTATAAGGTGGGTAGAAAGTTGGCTAGATTGTCGGGCTCAACAGGTAGTGATCAATGGCTCCATGTCTAGTTGGCAGCCGGTGTCAAGTGGAGTGCCCCAGGGGTCGGTCCTTGGGCCGGTTTTGTTCAATATCTTCATAAATGATCTGGAGGATGGTGTGGATTGCACTCTCAGCAAATTTGCGGATGATACTAAACTGGGAGGAGTGGTAGATACGCTGGAGGGCAGGGATAGGATACAGAGGGACCTAGACAAATTGGAGGATTGGGCCAAAAGAAATCTGATGAGGTTCAATAAGGATAAGTGCAGGGTCCTGCACTTAGGACGGAAGAACCCAATGCACAGCTACAGACTAGGGACCGAATGGCTAGGCAGCAGTTCTGCGGAAAAGGACCTAGGGGTGACAGTGGACGAGAAGCTGGATATGAGTCAGCAGCGTGCCCTTGTTGCCAAGAAGGCCAATAGCATTTTGGGATGTATAAGTAGGGGCATAGCGAGCAGATCGAGGGACGTGATCGTCCCCCTCTATTCGACATTGGTGAGGCCTCATCTGGAGTACTGTGTCCAGCTTTGGGCCCCACACTACAAGAAGGATGTGGATAAA